ASYWAAAAATAAATATTAAAAAGAAAGTTTATTTATTAGATTGCTGGTTTGTTTAAAAAGGATACAAATAAAAAAGATACAAATCAGGAACAACTAAATGGAAGAGACACAGAGGGCAAACTAWGAAGGAAGGGGTGCAGAGCATCAGCACCCTCTCAGATGCCACAGCCACCGGCCTTCAAGTGTCTGCCTCTGGCCTCCAGGGGTCTGACGGAGTCTTGGCCTTGGTGACCACTCCACCGTCAGTCCCTCTCCCTTCACAGGAGGAGGGCTGAAGGTTCCAACCCTCTAAGCAAGAGRTTGGCTCCCCTGGCTCCAGCCCCCACACTGAGCTCTGCAGGAGCCCCCTCACACACACACCAGACAGGTCCTTGGCATGCAAAGGACTCTCCACCTCTGAGATCCTAAGGGACTTGTGGAAGCCAGATTATGTTACATGCATCTACTCCACTTTCCTGGAAACCATCATTCTATTTTAAATTTGCATTTCCATAAAAACAAATGTTCCACACCTTTCAGATATTTTTTGAACATTTTATTTCTGTTAAATGCCTATTTGAATTTTTGACAATTTTTTTTAAATTGAGTTGTGGTTTTTTGTTTAGTTTAGTTGTTTTTTTCTTCATTTAATGATTTGTAATTTTTCATATAGTCTGGGCACATTCCTTATTATGTACTAGTAGTTTTCTCTCAGCAACTTCCCTTTTCAGTCCCTTTTGATGAATACAAGGTCATAATTTTAATGAATTCCAATTTTCCTATATAAACTATTTGACCTTTTTTTCTCTTCAATCTTTTTTCTTTTTTTTTGTGTTGTTTATTTATACAAAAGCTGAGATGTTTCATAAAAGGTTAAATGTGAATAATGATAGTTAAAATCTTTACCTCTTCCTTCCTTTAAAATTTCACCATTAAAATAACAATAACTATAGAATTATTATGAATACTCATCAAAATAAGGAAGGTCCTGGCCGTGCATGGTGGTGCACACCTATAATCATAGCTACTGGCAAGGCTGAAGCAGGAGAATCACAACTTGAAGGCCAGCCGCAGCAACTCAGCAAGCCCTTTTTCAGAATTTAAAAATGAAAAAGAGTGCTGGGGTGTAGCTCAGAGGCAGACTGTCCCTGTTTTCAGTCCCCAGTACCAAAGTCAAAGAATGAATGAATATTTTCCTTCTACTCCTGTTTTGATGAATATGTCACATCTGTCACTTGGGACTTTATTTCAAAGAAGAGAAGGAGGGTCTAAGTTAGCTAATGTAACCAGAAGCAGTATTTTCCCTGGCGTTTCCAAGTTCCTACTTTCAACTCAGTTTTCTGGCTGCAGATTCGACAGCCCCTGCTTCCCCCTAGTGTCCTTAATGCCTCTGTTCCATTTCATGATGCTCTCCACATAATATTCCACCTTGCACCTCAGAACAGGGCTGGAATCCTGGACRCATCTGGCCTTTAACCAGTAGCAACTTAAGTTTTCAGCTTCACTTAATATTCCCTGTCATCAAAATTTCTCTTTCACACATAGATTCTTTTGGGGTGGGGAAGTACTGGGGATTGAACCCAAGAGCACCTAGCCCTTTTGACTTTTTCTATTGAGACAAGGTCTCACTAATTTTCTTAGGGCCATGCTAAGTTGCTGAGGCTGGCTTTGAACTTGGAATCCTCCTGCCTCAGCCTCTAGAGTCACTGGTATTACAGGTGTGCATCACTGCACCCAGCTCACATATAACTTCTTTAAAAAAAAATCAAAAGAAGAGATAAGGATATAGCTCAGTATTCTGAGTGCTTGCCTTGCTTGTACAAGGCCCTGGGTTTGATCCCCAGCACCAAATTTTTCTTTTCTTTTCTTTTTTTTTAAACATACCCAAAACCTCATTCCAAGATCTGACATGCCCAGGTATGACCATCTAGTTCTGTCGATTGCCAGTCAAGTGACTCAGAGGACCTGAAGTTACTTTATTAAGCCTCATTTTCTAGGGCATAAAATATAAAATAAAAATTTGATATCACAAAACTGTATCGAGGGTTAGGTAGGATGATTTGTGGGAGAATGTCTAACTCAGTGTTGGCAAATCACACTAATCTTCCCTGATATTCTGATTGTTCTCCTGGACAAACCAGCTATGATGGTTAGGGTAGGGAGCTACAAAAAGACTCAGCAACTCAGTAACATAGAACGAATTTTACACAAATAACAAATGATTTCACGTCCTGCGTATGTATTTGCAGAGCACTCTCCCAGCCCTCAGAGGAAATGGGTGAAAAGTCACCTGTGTGGGGAGTGAGGGTGTGGGTGCCAGGAAAGCCAGAACTGTTGTGATGGACATTTACTGCCTTGTTCTGGGGCTCCACAGCGCCGGCCACACAGTGCGAGTTGAAGCAAGAAACCACCAAATGTCAAGGTGACCCCACGACTCGGAGTTCTCCTGGGCCTGACAGGTAGAGAGTAGCCCAAAAGATTGGGCCCTGTCAGCCGAGGATCCTTGGCTGTGTTTCCATAACCCCTGCATGAACATTTTGGCCCCTATTTTAGTCCAACACAAAAAGTTTTCCCCGGCCTGCTCCAGTCCTTGTCTGAGGGAAGCTCTCTCTGGCCCTCTGTCCAGGAAACAGTGTGTCTGTAGCTCTCAGGAACGGAGGAGAGTGTTTTCAAACAGCACCAGTTCCAAAAACTCATCCCCAAAATCATCCCCGTAAAAGACAAAGCCAACCTCGCAGTTGAAGTCACCAAGCAGTGTGGGCACTGGGGTGTTGTGGGGGACCCCTGGAAGGCAGGCGTCTCTCCCTAGTTAAGGTCGTCTCTTGAGAGCCATTCTGGGGCCTTCACAGGTGCTCTGTCCCTCCACACCCACCTGGGCTCGGGCACTAACTCAGTGAGAATTCCTCTAGGATCACAGGGTCCTAACCTGAATGACTTCTCTTTTCCTGCTTTCTCCCCCCTGGAGTGGAACCATTTCTGAAAGTGCTGAGGTTGGAGCACAGCCACTGTCCCTAACCCAGGCAGCTTTGGTGGGCGTAGGGACTGCACTCAGGAGCGGGCCTGAGGGCTCTCTCAGCAAACCTGTTTGGGGTTGTTTCAGCTCCCTTCTGGCCATTTTGGAAAACCTTCCTGTGTCCTGCAGTGCTCCTGGGCCTTGTCATTGCTGCACAGTTTTTGCTTGGAAACTATAAGAAAGAAGGAGAAAGAGAAATGACAAAACTGGCCCCATAGGTAAGTCACAGAACATCAGATTATTATGGACATTTGTCAAATGAAGAATCTGTTTTCGACAGGTGGTTGGATAGGATGTCTTGTAAGAAGAATTGTTGTCCCTGGAACCTGTCATTTCAGAATTTTCAAAGCTGAAAGCATAAACACACAAACCAGGAGTTTGAAGAGGAAGGAGGGTTTTCATCAGAGCTGGAACACAGCTCCTTAATTAAATCATGAGAACAAGTAATGTCCTCACAGGGTCACAGACCAGGAGGTGTGAGGCGGAGGGTRTGTTAACTGCCCTCCTGAACCCAGCTGGGCTGCGCCCTTGGCCTGCAGTGGGTGCTGAGCTGGCTGCGTTGCCTTCGCTCGCCCTCTAGGTGGAGCTGTGGTCTTAACAGCTGAAGGCAGATCCCGAACCACCAAGAACTTGGGTTACTTCTGCAAGAGCAAAAAAACACTTCCTGCTCTTGACTGAGGATCCCAGATGGACCAGGCCTCCACACTGTGTCCCCCACACCCATTTTCCTCCTTACCTCTCAGGCCTCAGGAAGCATTTGAGGTACTTCTCATCTTACAGAGAAACTCATAAAAATTTGACTCTTTTTTTTCCTTTCCTTGTTATAAAATACAGAAAATATTCTCCCTCTAACCTGGCACTGACTCACACTTCTGCTTTTTCAGAATGGGAACTGGCTCCTTCACATGCAGGTAGGTGCACTCCGGGCTTTGAGATATAACTCCCAGGAACTCAAAGACCTAGAACAGGAGAGGCTGATACACTATGGTCACAAGCACTGGACATTTTAAGTTGTGGGGAAATCCTGATGTTTCCTTGGGACACAGAGGGCTTTTGGGCCCAGAGACAAGTCCCCTGTGAAGGGCCACGTTAGGCACTGTGTGCCCTGGACAGTCAGTTCCTGCATCACAGGAGACCCAAACTGCACAGCAGCGAGGCCGCTCCCACTGAGACCACCATGTTAGCCCACTGCTGCTTCTTTGGAGAAGAGAGGACAGGTCCTGTGACTGACTGCCACTGACGGTCACACTCTCTGTTTCCAGTTGATGTGACCTGGATCCAGACACAGCCCACCCTCACCTTTTTCTGTACGAAGAACGCAAAATCTGTTCCACTGGAGGATTCACGCCAGAAGCCTGAAAATCCAGAGAGATTTYTTTTTTATTGGTTATTCAGAACATTACAAAACTCTGACATATCATTTTTCATACATTYGATTCAAGTGGGTTATGAACTCCCATTTTTACCCCAAATACAGATTGCAGAATCCCATCATCCAGAGAGATTTGACTGGTGGCCRTGTGTGCTGGGCTGAGAGGTCTTCACCGAGGGGCAGCATTACTGGGAGGTGGAGGTGGGGGACAGGACCGACTGGCGGGTTGGGGTGTGTAGGGAGAATGTGAAGAAGAAGGGGTTCATCCTCATGTCTCCCAAGGCTGGCTTCTGRGTCCTGGAATTATCTGGAAAGGGGTACTGGGCGCTCACTCCACTCTGGACCCTTCTCCAGTTGGCAAGAACCCCTCGCAGGGTTGGGATTTCCCTGAACTAGGAGTCAGGAACTGTCTCCTTTACAATGTGAACGACAGGTCCCACACCTACACCTTCTCCAAGCCCTCTTTCCCTGGCCCCGATCGTCCTTTATTCTGCCTATGGTCTTGTGATGAGAAGCCCCTGACTATGTATCCAGTGGTCAGGCCTCAGGAAGTCACCATCATTGCTGATGTCTAGGCCCTTTATGGAGATTCTGTTGTATGGGAGCTGCCCTGAATGACCACGCCTTCCAGTCCAGAAGCACRAGGCTCTAACCAGTCACTTGGTGGTGACTTGGACATTGTCTCAGCTGGGGTAGCAAGGCAGGTCTCTTGTGTAGGCATCACCCCCTGGGGTTGAGCTAATCCTACCCCTGGCCTCATTTGAATGGCTTCTTCCCAATAAAAGGGTCCAGTGCATGCTCCTGTCTCTCTCTCCATGGACCCCTAAGGTCAGAGAAGCCGGTCACAGGATCTAAAGGGAAAGGTACTTCTCTGTCTCTGTGTGGTTATTTTGTGCAGCCCAGCTCACCTGGAGTGACCCTGAGTGTTTAGTCATRGTGGGATAGAGATCATCTTTCCAGACAAGTGACCGCACAGTCCAGACCCAGGCCCTTCTCAGCCACCTCTGATCAACCTATGGTCATGGCTCTCCAACCCCTCTCCCCCAGATCTGTCCCCTTTCCTGAGGCTGAGCAGTACTGTCACCACACCTCAGTTACTTCTCTTGGGCAGGGATCAGGTCTGAGACGGTTGAGATGCAGCTGGGCTGGCAGATTACACTCTGTTAGGTCAGGTGGGTTTCAGGTAGAGAGTCTGAGGGCACACGGACTATTGAGACGCCAGAGTGCGGCTGGAAACTTCCTGGTGTCCAGAATCGGGGTGGTGTGAAGGGACATGCTCTGCCTTGTGTGTATGGAAAAGAAAAAGGGAGGAGTGGAAGTTAAGGGAGGCAGATATGATCAGAGCATATTCTATTCATGTACAAAAATGCCACAGTGAAAGTGTTTTGTGTAATTAAAGTGTATWAAAAATGATTCAGTCTTAGAAAAGAAGAGGAGCAGAAAGATTGTGGGAAGAGAAGACCCCAAGCTGTAGCCACTGAGGTCTGCAGAGGGAAGAGAGAGGTCAGGTGGAGCCAGTCCAGTGTCAGGATCAGGCTTTGGGGTTCTCAGGGTTTTGTCTCCGAATTTGACAGGGCAACAGAATTCAGCCCTTCTTCTGGGGCATGGTAGCAAGTAAGGGGTGGGGAGGACCTCTGATGTGGCAGTGCAGGGAGACTGAGCAGCCCTCAGAAGTGACCTGCATGGTAAATCTGGCCCTGATGCTCCTTTCCCCTCCTCCCTGGCCTGCCTCCAGGCCTGACCTTGCTGCTGTTATGCTCAAATTCGGGACCCCCAAAGACCACCAGAGACCCAAGATCGATGTAAGCAGCAAAGAGGTGTTTATTGCGAGCTAGCTCGGTCCTCCGCACACACACACAGCAACTGGTGACGCTGAGAGG